GGTTAGATCATGTCCTCTTACCATGACAATCCTCCAAGGCAGGTCCTTCCTTCCATTGGTGTCTTTTTAGAGATAAGCATTGTGTCTTAGAAAGATTAACCTGCTTGTCCAAGATCACACAGTTATTTAGGGACATGGCTAGGGTTCAACCCAGATCTGTGACTGGGAACAAATGCTCTTAACCACTGTGCTATACTGTTTCATCCCAATTTGGTCAACTTTCCCAACATAGATGATCTACTGCTTATCATTATTTCAAACACATTTTAAAATACCTCTTAGTCTCCTAATCATCATATCTTAATATCTTCAGGGGTCAGACAGGAGGAAAAATTAAGCAAGCAAAATAGGTGAGGGTTAAGACAAAATGGTGATTAATTCCCTGATTTCACTCAGCAGTTAGGTACTCAGCAGATAAATATGAGCTACACACAATGAGTGTACTTACTGTGCCACAGTTTATGATCCCAATGAGCACTTCCATATGTGATCTTGAAATTTAGTCTTGGAAGGGCGGCCATTCTTGTCTGGATGCTTTGGAAAGGCCAATACACCAATCGCACTGGATGGACCCTTCACTTCCTCATTAGCCAGTCTCGATAGACATTTTACATTAGCATCGTCATTGGTATTAGTCTGTCCCATTTTACTGTCCGATGGTAAAATAATTCAATTTGCTGTTCTTATCATTTGTGTCTGCTTTTTTCTGAGTTTTCCCAGGTAACATCCAATTATGCAGGATCTAATTCTTTCTCTTCCCCACAGTATTAATGACCAAGGTAGAATCATCAGGCTGTAAGATAATTTCAGCAGGCAGAATAAGAGTAAAGAATAAGAATGAATGCTGACAAATAACAGAAGCACCCTCTCTTACAACTTAAATTCTGTATCAGGGCATTTATTCCGCATGCAAGTTCAAGAGGTAATTATCACCTACATGTAAAGCAAGACATGTTAAATTAGGGCACAGGGTTCAAATAAAAATCACAGCAGAAAACACCTAACCATTTAAATGAACCATAGTCCTCTCTGTTTACATATTTTCTTTCAAAAGAATGGTACAACTTACTAATGGCTAAATTTGTAATAGCTTCTGTGGTGATTTTACCTCCAATATTTACTGAAGTGATTCCAAATGATAATGAGTATCGGCACAAATTTCATTTTTAAAAAGGGTAAAATACTTCACAAAAAAATGAACCCAATTAAGATGAATTTTAAATTTAAAAAAAGATGGAGTTATAAGAACATGAAACGACAGGGGTGATTTTAATTGAAAAATAAGAACTTGTAATATTCTAATCATTTTTCTTTATTTAATTGAATTATACTGTTAGGTTTTCATTGTAAATGGTAATATTAGTGAAAAATTTAAAAAACCAAAAAAAATTTTTTAAAAAATCAACAAACCATCTTCAATTTTTTAAAAAAATGTGTGGAGAAAATTAAACATAAAACCTAAAAACAGACGGATATTTTTATAATTTTTACTTAAAGAATACTTACGCTTGGTCAATTTTAGCTTGGATAGCCTTCCATGTAAGAATTAGAGAATATCAAAATTTATGATAGACAAAAGAAGTCTTCCCAGGTGTTCAGTTCTCCAATTTGAATTATGATCAATAATAGAGGACAGAACAAATTATACTACAAATTGACATTAGAAATGCTTATTCAGAATCTCTCAATCTAATGGATCTGATTTTGAAAGGGATTAAAAACCTCTTCATGCCTCAGACTCAGGGGTTACAGCCAGATTACCTGGGTTAGACTCCCGTTTTACTATGCCCTTGCTAGAATGACCTAGTACAATATCCTTAATCTTCCTGACCCTTGGTTTCCTCATCTGTAGAACGGGCTTGATAATAGTACCTAACTAAGAAGACTGTTGTAAAGATGAATTTAGCAAAGGTACAGGGCTTAACTCAGAGCCTGGCACATGGAGAGTGAAGATATGTTGCTTAATAGGATCAGTATTACATTACTATGAAAAATTAATCTGATACTAGCATCACTTTACCCTCTCTTCTAGGAACTCCTGGAATCATATACCTTTCTTCTCAGTAGAATGAGATCAAAGGAGAGCTCTAAATGTATACAACAAAGCCACCTTCGAACGATGTCTTCTGTCTTCCAGTGTCATATAGTTACCTACTGATGGGAAGAATGCTAAGAGCATGGTTCTAAGCACTCACACATCATCTTGTTTCCTAACCCCCAGCCCTCTAAGTGGGTAGCACCAATAACCTCCATTTTCATAAAAGAGGAAATTTCAGTGCAGAGGAGTTTAATAGTCACTGAAGATCTGACAACTCTATGAGGATAATACCACCATAGTCCCATTCTGCAGACAGGGAAATGGAGGCTTAGCAAAGTTACAGAACTAGTACAAGATCATAGGGCCACTAACTGGTGAGGATGCAATTCAGATCAAGGCAGTATGACTCACTGCTGACCTGACTGTGCCATGTCAAACAGCCCTGGCTTCGGGGGAGAGGACATCAGGGCTGGTTTTGGTGGTATAATCTGTTTCTCCATATTCCCCAGCTCTTTGCCCTTTATTAGGGTACACTAATGCACCTAGTACAAGTGGACTTAAATTTACAGCCACCCCCACACACATACCCCTGCACACACACAAACACAGACACACACGAACACACACACACACACACACACACACACACACACACACACACATACACCTTCATACCATGGTACAACCCCTACACATACTTTTCTCACTTAATTCTCCTACTTCTAAATATATCACACACACACCACACACACACATACACCTTCATACCATGGTACAACCCCTACACATACTTTTCTCACTTAATTCTCCTACTTCTAAATATATCTTTGAATTTTCATGTAAGAAAATGATTATTATTTTAGCTCTAATTTTCCTTATATCAACAATAACTTTTAACACTCTTTACTAATTGAAAACTAATCTTTTTCTAGTATACATTTTCAAACATTTAGAATATATTATATCACAAGGATTGTTTAGAAGCAAGTCTCTAACACTGATACCAAGGATAAAGTCAATGAAAGAGTTGATAAGTTGATATTAATCTTAAGAAGATATTTGTCAGAAAAGTGGGAGTAGCCACATTAACTTTAGAAGAAGTCAGAAGAAACTAGATACCGTAATTCTATAAAGTGAATTTTCTGCTTCTCTTTCCTCTCGTCTCCCCAGAGCTGAAATCCTTTTAATAGAGAGGGCATTGTCTCAAACTGCTGATTTTACTGTCATTAGGGTATAAACAAAAAAAAAAAGATTAAAAGATGGAAAGACTAAAAGTAGGCTGAAGAATATAAGAAATGATAGCATCAGCATAACTATTATGGTGCCCACTTATTTCCCCCTTAAAATGTTCTTTTTGACCATACCACAATTAATCATGCATGGGAATTTGATTTTTATAAATTTTATTAGAATAATAAAAAATAATACATACAGATAACCATAGGATACACACACAGGAATTTAAAGGTAAATTTTATACTTTTCAATATGAAACAAAGTACATATCTCATGGAGATATATTTCTAGAAACACCATGAAACAATAGAGTAATTGCCTTGAAAATGAAAAGTATAGGAACATATTATAGGAATTACCAAATAATAAAAAGGTACAACTCCATTACATGTAGCATAAAATACAGGTATTGGAGAAAGTGTTTCTCCACTTTTTGACCCGAAATAACAATGGTCATATGAAATCTACTCGTCATTCAGAATTTTTGTAGATATATACAGTATATACAGACCTTGAAGAGAAAAGTTATAAATATTTTTCTTCTTTGTGTATAATGACTTTGTCTTAAATGTGATCTCTAAATGTAAATTAACACTCTATGGTAATATCAGAATTTTGCTAATATGTATTCTCTTTTGATATCTGTCGGTTTCAAATTCAGATATCTTTGCAAACAAGTTCCTGCAAAACGTGAAATGGACAGGAAAGAGGTAAAAAATTGACTTTGCAATGTGTAACGCTCAATCTGCTGATTTTCATTTATTTTTTACATACTGCTATGAAGCCATGTCTTCGACAACCCTTTGAACACCATGTATTGAGAGACTGAGTCATACGTATCAAAGTCAGCAGCATGCCCATTGTTCTAGTACAAATTTAGCTCGGGAACTAAAAAGTCTGCCAGACCCGCTCTCATAAACGGTTGGATTTCATTAAAAACCACCTCCACCATCCAAAAAAGAGAGGGTCCCTTGATGGAATCAGAGATTGGAAATGAAGCATCATGTACATTTTGTTTAATATCTGGATTAAGATTTAGGTTGTTCCTTATTTTCTCCACCATGTTTTAATAAAACCTGAAAGCTTGTTCCTAGGTGTGAAGGAAACAATCCCTTTTTACTTTATTTCACTTTTTAAACCTTTTGAGAGAGGATAAAATGTGATCCTTTCAGTTTTATAATATCATGGAATGAAAAGGAAAGCATTACCTAGAATGGAGTGCAAACTTTAAAAATGTGGCTGGTCCTCAGGACTTCAATATGATTAAATAAATTCATACTAATATTTTGCACAGGCCTAGTGCATTAGGGCTAACAAAGCACTTTCACATTTCCTTCTTTATCTTTTGGCGAGTAATTCATGGGGGAGAGGCAGATAAGATGCGTATTATTATCTCCACATTTTAAGGGTGAGTGCTTGAGAAGTCGAGAGAGCAGTGATTTGTAAAGAATCTCACAACCACGCAGCAGTATACCCGGACGAAACAGCACTCTTCCAAAGTCTACCGTAGCATCTCCAACAACATGCTTTTGAATTACATGCACCTTCTGCCCAACAGGGTAATTTTTAAAATGTATCTTTCACCCTTGAGTATTTCGAATGAGCATTTCCAAATAACACTAATTATGTCTTCCAAACAGTGCTGTTACAATGGGAGCAAAGCATTTGGAGTAAATGAGTTTTTCTACATTAAAAAAAAACAAAACCAAACCCACAAAAGTATGTGTCTGCATGTGGGTGTGTATACATTGAAGCATGTGAGCCTTTATCCACAGGCAGTGCTTAAAATCATAAGAATGTCTCTATCAAAAATTGGATGTATGTAATATGTAAATTCCTTTGGTGTATCAAGTAAATATTAAGGCATTTCAGATTCCCCTAAAAGGATTTACTGGGTTTGCTTTTTTATTATATTCATATTTTACCTATGTAGAAAGTTAAAAATACAGAGTTGGAAAAAAACATGCATAATCACTGCATTTCATGAAAGCACTTTTTTTTGTAACCAATGAACTTTCCAATAAATAATAATAAAAAAAAAAGTGACTATCACCACAGGGTGTTTACAATAAAGAACAGTACTGTAGAGATATAACTTGACACAGGGTGGGCATTGGAGATGGCTGATGTACAACCTCTTGCATCCATATCTGTCAAAGATGATAAACAGCTCATTAATAAGGACTGTATCAATTTAAGTAACTAACTTACTACCACAAGTTAACATTAGCCTTCATGTTATTTAACAATGTAGCATAGATTATTTGCCAAGAGTATCTATAACCACTCTTATATATACTTAAGTTTTCTTAAACGATTCTGGGCTTTGTTCATCTAGTATTATTTAACTTTAATTGAAAGTGGAAAAACAACTTAATATTTTGAAAATAATTATACTCCATTACAGACAATTTTGAGATAATTCAATGGTTTAATTAAAGAAAGCTTCATTGGAGAAGGGTTAGGAAATATGTTTGTTTCTCTTCTGTACATTTTTACATAAGTTATTATGTATAATATATCATCTTAAAAAAGCAATCAATAAAAGCTCCATTTTCCTATAGTTGGCCTTTGTCTGCACCAATCTATGCAAACTCAACAAGAAGGCAGATGTCAGAGAGAAAGGCTACTCTTGACTCAGCAACCCTCAAATGCTAAAATCTGTCTGTTCCTGCAAAAGCACAGAACCTATTCCTTTAAACAGTTCCACTTTGGCCATATTGTAATTTTACCTCTGAACCTTGAGCTGTCTTAGGAACAAGATAGCAGGTCTTAATTAAAAACCTAAATAATAATAATAATAAGCTTAAATTAATTCCTGGTTTTGCTCTATTGAAGCACATACAGTTTTAAAAATGTCTGTAGTCCTAAATGGTTTTTACATATTTTTATGTTGCAGAACTCAGTTCTGAGATAAATATTTCCCATTTTCTCCATTTAGTTACTTGTTTATTTTGGTCTAAGTATTGCAGTCTTTATGATTTCATGAAGAGATAAAATTCCTCCAAGTTTCCACATCTCCCTTTCTCTTCACTTGCTAATGATGTCTCTCATTTTGTTTTCCAAGATTACAAATAAGGGTTTTAATCTTGAATGCCCAAGATTATAGATTAGGCCAACCTCAATGAAAAGAAACAGGGAGCAAAGTAATTTAGGTTACTAAGAACCGCAGAATAGCATGGCTTCTGCAGTACTTAAATTGAGGCCACAAAACTCCACCCTTGAGATTTAAAAGATAAAATTTCTTCTAACACTGTCACTGGTAAAATACGTATGAAAAGTCTGTTTCCCTGAACTCTAAAAGTACAATTTCTATAATACAACAGGCTTCATTCGGATTTTGAAAAGAAAAGCAAGTATGAAACTCCACTGAAATCAGAAACTAAGAATTTTTTTTTTTTAAAGTGTCTTTTGGTTTGGCCAAATGGGTTCTGACCTTAACTTAACAATGCTAAATTTTCTACTTGGTAAAGAACTGATAAGATTCATCTATAATTTCTCAGAGGCAAACAACTGGAATATTAAAGATCTTAAAAACACTTTGTGGGGCTTCCCTGGTGGCGCAGTGGTTGAGGGTCCGCCTGCCGATGCAGGGGACGTGGGTTCGTGCCCCGGTCCGGGAAGATCCCGCATGCCGCGGAGCGGCTGGGCCCGTGAGCCATGGCCGCTGGGCTTGCGCGTCCGTAGCCTGTGCTCCGCAGCGGGAGAGGCCACAGCGGTGAAAGGCCCGTGGACCACAAAAAAAAAAAAAAAAACAAACAAACAAAAAGAAACACTTTGTGGGTTCAACACTGCCCTTGAGAAATGCTTAAGGAATTCTGTTTTATGACAATCCAAAGGCAAATGTATGCATAGCTCAGAATGAGAAAAAAATTAAATTAATAAAAATTGCTAAATATTTCTCAATGTTTTTTCTGTTATTCTGTTCTTATCATTCTTATTTTGCACCACTCGTGAGGAATTCCTCCTGCCCTCATCTCTCATATTCCAAGACCTTCTCAGCATTCAGATGAAAGAAATGGTAGGAAAAAAAAGAGTGGAGAGGGAGGCACCGATTGACTCTCTCTTGGGGGCTCATAACTGATGCCGGGAATTAAGGAGATGTTGACGTCGACCAACTTACTGGTTATTCTTGGAATCCTGATCTGTTCGCTACTGGTCCCATCCCCGCCATCCGTTGTGGCCTTAACTTCAATAATGTAGTCCTCTTTAATGGGCAGCAGAAGTTCAGCTGAAGTTTTGTTTGTGTTTAGCACTTGCACATTATTTTGACTGCTAGTCCTATAGAAAACCTAAAATGCATGAACAAACACATTGATTTTTTTTATAGTGCCCTCTTTTATATTTTTCATAAACTTATTACTCTGATGTTACTTCATTTATGTTGTTTGTTTTCCATACCCACTAAAATAGAGGCTGCATTCATAGCTCTGTCACCTTAGACTAGGGATCAGCACATGGTAGAATCATCAGGTGCTCAAAATGAAGGAGGTGGGGAAGAAAAAACTTCTATGAAAAGTTCAGCTGCTTGGGTATTTGTGAGGACGGAGAGACGGGGGCAAGGTCCTACTGTAGAGACCAAAGAATCAGAGCCAATGCTATTAGTTGTTTTTTAAGTAGTATACGGGTGAGCACCAGAAATACGAAACTAACATAACGAACAACTTACCAACATTTGGTCTAAAATTCCCACGTGAGCAGAATTATGTCACTTAAATTTATATTTAAGAAATCAGATGTTTTGGAAAAATACCCTTTTCATAAACAGCTTGACATCTGTATGTCAAAAGTAGTTTATAAAGATCACACCATCAACATTTAGAAAAACTGTTCAAATCTAGCTTCCTTTGAAAAGTACTGCCAGAAGTAGGAAAAGAAAGCACTGCAGATGATACAACTTACTTTATATCCTGTTACTTCTGATTCATTCTCCATGGCTTTCACTTGCTCCCAATTAAGTAACACTTTCGTGTCTGTAGCATTCCAAACAACATTTCCTGGTGGCTGACTGGGAGCTTGAAATGCAAAATGAGAAATTAAAATAGATTTGAGCATGGAGTGATAGTTTACATAGAACAGATAAGTGACAGTCATAGGAGGCAGCCAAAGGAGAGCAGAATCTCTTTGGTAACACATAGTGTATAGGAAGAATCAGAGAAAATAACAGAGTGGCTAAATTTCCTTTTAAAAAGGCATTTCCATAACATTGTGAGACAATTTGCTTTATCATATTCATCATATACTTCAGGGCATTTCTCACTTGTTGCCATGGTCTCCTGGAAAACTTGTTGATAGTGGAGATAAGGAAATTCTTTTATCCACCACTAGAGGGATGCTTGTGATGGGCTAGGAAAGGCAGGCAGTGTGTCCTGTTTGACACATCCAGAGGCTGAGAGAAACTGCCAACTGAGCAGATTAAAATTGCAGGAAATGAAGTGTGGATGATTTTAAAGCCATCCATGTATGATGAGATGAGCAAAATAGGAGGCAATCAAAAATAAGGATTACTTAGATTTATTCCCAAGAAGTAATAGCTATACACATGAAAAACTGCAGCACAGAGTCTATATTTTACCTTTGTTTTCCAAGTTTAAATCAATTTTTGAGAAAAATAAGTCAAAACAATGAAACGTTAATGAGAGCTCCATTAGATAATTAATGAAACTCTCCGAGGTTTAAAAACTTGGATTCATAATTTAGCTCCCTCTCATGAACACTAGATGCCGGCCAGGGGAAGCCGGTTTGACAGCATTTGTCAAGGGCAACATAGGACACTGAAAATTCAGTTTCTTGTCAATCACAAAACAGCAAACATAATATTATCCATTTGGCAACATCACAAATGCCCAAAACAGTGCTGAAATATGTTGTACTTGTGTTATCGCTACTGGTAAGAATAACATCTTCTGGAAAATCCTAGATCGGATAAACTTTCCTTCCAAATTTAAAATCCTATTATTGTTAGCAACTAATGCCTGTTAAAACCTATAATATGTTAGGCGAGGTAGAATGTGGTTTTATATAATATAATTTACTTAGTCCCCATTACACTGCATTATAATAAAGCCCATTTTGCTACACGGGTAATCTGGACCCAGAAAGTTTTAAAAGAAGATTGTACATTCATGTTCATAGCAGCATCATTCACAGCAGACAAAAGGTTGAATCAACCCAGGTGTCCATCAACAGGTGAATAATCAAAATGTGGTATATCCATACTAAGGAATACTATTCAGCCTTAAATAGGAAGGAAATTCTGACACATGCAACAACTTGGATGAACCTTGGGGAAATTATGCAAAGTGAAATAATCCAGTCACAAAAAAGACAAATTCTGTAGGATTCCACATATACAAGGTAGCCAGAGTAGTCAATCCATAGAGACAGAACGTAGAATGGTGGTTGCCAGGGATGGGGGAGGGGACAATGGGACATGCTGTTTCATGGGTACAGAGTTTCAGTTTTGTAAGGTGAAGAGTTCTGGAGACCGGCTGCACAATAACCAAGCCCAACACTAAGGAACTGTACATTTAAAAATAGGTAAGATGGAAATTTTATGTCATGTGTATTTTTATCACAATTAAAAATTAAAAGCAAAGAACTTGCTAAGATGCACAGCTGGTAAGAGGTATCATGTGGATTCAAACCAGTTCTGGTTAATTCCAAAGTCTATGCTTCCCCTATTACGTTGTGGTAACTATCTGTGACTTTAGTTAACTCTTGAACCATTGACAAATGATATGTCAGTGATGTACAAATGAATATTAAACATATTCACCTCAAAATATACTCAATTTTCACTTTCCTAGGACTGCTTTTCCTGACTTCTCAGACTAAATGTACAATGGGGCCTCTTTTCATATACCAGGTTCCCTTTCTTCATCATATTCAGCAAAGGTACATTTTACATTTAATTGTGGTTTTATGTTTATTATCCAATTTTCCTACTAACTCATAAGTTCCTTGCAGACAAAATGTGCTATATGGTCTCCGACATCGATAGGCCCATATGCTAGTTTTTATTCACTAGCCTAATGTCTTGTTAAAGGTAGATATCAAATTAGATTTTGTATGTAACTGACTGTTATTTTAATGCAAGAAACACAACCCAAGGATTAAGAAAACGCTTCTCTAGTGTTATCAAAAAATAAGTTTGATCTACTCCCTACGTGTCCCTAAGGAATGATTCACGCAATGATAAAGTAATGCTGAATGGGGAAAGATTCAGAATAAGTATCAGTAGCAATTCACCATGGTGTCAGCGGGGTAACATTTGGCTGGTCACAGTTCTCAAATGTGGCACCTCAGAATTTAGAATGAATTTTCTAGCTCCATGGTTTTGAAAGTCCTCCAAGACACATCCCAATAAATGCATAAATTTCACAAAGACAAAACTGGGACATTAACACTGACCATCAGCTTGAGAGCTTGAATATGGCTGATTATATTGAGGCTAAGACGATAAGGAACAAAACACAAAGAAAGAACAGAATAAGAAAGACAGCAAAACAACCAGTGTATTCATTCAATACTTAAATGATTTATTTACTAAATATTTATGTTTTAAGTGTTAAGGGAAAAATGCATAAAGAGGTGACAACATCTTGAGTGGATTTTGAAAGATGAATGTGAGTTTCACATGTAGAAGTTGGGGGGTGGTAACCCAGGCAGAGGGATGACACACGCCAAGGCACAGAGGCAGGAACTAGCATAGTGGAGCTCAGTTCTGGCGGGTTACAGGTAGGGATGATGGGAAGGAACTGCAAAGGCAGTTGGAGAGACAGGTAGCAGCCATATGCTAAAGAGTCTAGAAGGCCAAAGAACTAGAAAAGGAATTTTGGGGGGCAGGCAATTGGCAGGGCACTGAAGAAGGCTCAGATCTGTGATGCCATCAGGTCTGTGCTTTCGCAGATCTCTGAGGGGACAGAGGGAGAAGACGGAGAATCTTGGTGGGAGCTCTGTAGGGAGTGCACTGCAGCACTTTGTATAAAAGATAATAAAGTTCCATATGCAAGTGATGGCAGTAGAGTTGGAGGGATGGAACAGACCTGGAATTCGTGAATAGGTCATGATGATGGAGGTCATATGCGTGGTGGTAATAAGAAGGCAGGCTAATTCTAGCTCAGCAGCCTGGGTGAACGACACACACCTTGGGGAACAATGTTTCTATCCGGAATTCCCTTTCAGTCACTACGTACTTAATAAGCATTTTGCATGTGTCAGGGATTCTCCTGAGTACAGTGAGCACAGAGATAAAGATGTTCTCTGACTTCTAATCATGGACCACATTAGTGGTTCCCAGAGACCAGTACTTGTACAAATACGATGGTTATAGGTGGATAACATTTTTAATTGTTTTAATTGTTAATTGATTCATAGATATAATTCTTTTGGATGAGGCCAATATTGGTACATCAGTGGTAATCTACTTTACACACAATGCATAGATTAAAATTAGGTTCTAAATAAAGACACAGAAAATAGGGCATTACACAAACATAAATAACTCAGATGTTTTCAGTAGCACACAGATGTCTGGTAAACACCCCAAAAAACACAGTCATAATTCAAACTGACTCTGACCTAAGGATATATTTACAGTAAATAACTCATCTTAAACTAAGTGATCAAGAACAGAATATCACTCTATTAATAACAGTCATCAACACTCTGGTTAGCTCATTGCAAAACTTATTTCTAGGTACACATTTTTGGAAAGTCAAGTATGTTTATTTCTGCTATTCATTGTAGTTTTAAGTTGTAAACTTTTCTCTAAGTAACTGCTTTGCTTTCATTTTTATAGGAAGAAAATTAAAACTACTATCTTGTAAGGAGAGAGTATTAGTTCTGTTTATAGCAATGATACAAAGCCTTTTAAAATAAATATATTTAAGTATTAAAGTAAATACATTAGGGAAATAATAATCCAGGTTGTTAAGTATGTGGCTAAAATCTTGCAAGGATCATTCAGTGACTGAAGATTGCAAAACACTGGGCAAATTATGAATAAAGTAAAGTTTGATTATTGTATGATCCAAACTTCCCTTTAGTATCTTCATCCCTACTTTTGGTTTCCATCCTTACCAACCTTAAGTTACCTCGTATTAAGCCTTAAATGCCCTTCTTTTCTATCTTACTCATGTCAAACTTCAAATATTAATTCTTTCCTTCCACAAACTCTCTATAAAAACGATTTACCCTTGTGCACCAACAAACAGCAAGCTTGTACCACCACAGACAAGGTCTACCTAATATACTTAAGGCTTAATATACTAGAAGCAATGTGGCCACTTAGAACTCACCTGTATTGATTTTAGTCCCTTAACCTAGCAGAAGCCACAGAGTCTCAACTGCAAAAGAAGGAAAACAGCTGGTAGAGCTGTTGCTGGATTAAAAAACACAAGATAGTGAAATGTTTATAACTGTAAAGCTTCACATCAGAGGTTGCAACCTGAAACTTCAGCTAGATCCAGCTTGCACATATTTTTTGTCTAACCCAAATACTGTATTTTAATTTTGTTTAGTTACCAACATTTAAAACTTAGGAGCTTTCATTTAAGTTCCAGATTTCTGGTTTCTCGTGCAAAACTAGATGATCAGGAACAGTGGTCCTACAATGATGGATAGAAAGCATGGGATGGAGCAACAAGAGACTGCCCCACATACCCACCACTGCTCATTTAAACCTGCCTGGCCATTAAAGGCACTTGACTTTATTACTCCTCTTATTTTTTTTTTTTTTTTTTTTTTTTTCGGTA